TATACTCCTGTCGGAGCACTAGCAACTCTGTCCAAAGTGAATTTTGACCATGGCACATCAATCTTGGTGAGGTCCTAATGTTTTTATTAGCTTGCTAAGGCAGCGGAATGCATAATTCCATACTCTGTTTCCATGGTTACCATGGGCTGTTACCATGAAATTTCGTAGCATGCCTTGTGCGATCACGTCTAAAATTTGTGGACTCCTTCATTAGCCCCTGACCAACAGTTTAGGGTCAAGTTTTAGGTCAACTTTAGAACAGAGGCCATGCAGCATGTCTGTGTATGATGGTCCTACCGGTAGGTCCTACCGGTAGGACCGAGGTCTATGCAAGCTATCATTAAAAGGATGTTCATCTGGCAAGTATGTGTGCATAATATTAGGTCAGTTTGAGATTGGTAGACCAGCCATTTTCACGAAGAAGCTACAATTTTGAAGTATAACAAAATATGTCAGTCACCATTGCAATTGCAGTTCTTTTACATGTACAGCACAAAGAACAAAACATCATACTGTAGAATGTTGCATAAAATGTGCCAGGCAATTTGTGGAACTTACCACCTCAGTCTATTGGCGGTGTCACGAGTCTTTAATGGCCAGGCTGTGTGGCAGCTAGCTTTTTGTGCTGCAATATGTCAAGCGACGTAAATAAGCGTTCAGAACCTGTGGGCGGGGTGCCAAAACTAGACAACAGTTCAAACTCACCGACATTTTTTTCCATTTGCTTTGGTTAGGACCTTTGGATCCAGTTACTTACTAGTATTCTCCCAATCTGATTACACCAACATGATGACTATCTATTCTAAGGTAGTAAGTAGCATTGGTGCTATGGCAGATCTGTCCGATTGAGATTGAGATGAATGAGATGAATGACTTTGATTGCTCGTCTGCACAACTTATTATGCTTAAAATTAAATAACGTTTCTAGTGTTTGCGATGTGCTTGCAGTGTGTCCGGAATGTAAGGATATTGTGGAGATGGGCCAGGGCTTGTTGGCAGTGGACAAGGTGTGGCATGTGTGGTGTTTCCGTTGCAAGATCTGCCACATCGATCTCACCTCCAAGTACATTGTCAAGTAAGGTGCGGCTACTGCTGGTAGTCGGGTGATGGTGATGCTGCTATTACTGCTGATGGTGATGGTGATGCTGGTGCTACTGCATTCGCGTTATGACTAACCAGGGACGTAGGAGTTGCTTTAAAGGTGGCCCAATTTTTATTACGGTTTTGCGCGTACTGCGTGGACTATGCTTTTCACAGCGCAGTACGGCCATAGTTGTGCCAGTGGTAGCAGGTGCTATGCACCTGCTACCACTGCGTTGACTTTGGATCATCACCCATGAAGTAGTAGTAGTCAGAAGTACCCAGTATGATGTACTTAGAAGTTCAATCCATGCACCCCCCCCCCCCCCCCCCATCACCAATTACTATCAATGTTGCACTGTGCTGCTACGACAAGTAATGTTAAATTGGTACTGGGACATGCCGAAAAGACGTCCCCTTAGCAAGTTGTCTTGAAAATGCTGCCTTCCCATGACACCACCACCCTGAGATCACGGTTTTTGCTTTTCTTGGGGTGCGGCCTCTGTTGTCAGGGATAACGATGTATTATGCGAGGATGATTTCAACAAGCAATTTGGCATTCAGTGTGAGCTATGCCATGCCTACATTGCTGGGAAAGTCGTTCAGGTAAGTGGTAGGCTGACCTGTACACAGTTGTTGCTTCAGTGGAGCAGAGCGCTATGCCGATGTCACTGTCATGTTGGTTTGGGGTTTAGCCAGCCGGTGCCTCCATGATGTCAAATTCCCTGTTTACCGCACGCAACCTCTGCAGCATTGTCATGTGCACACAGCATGGGTATGTACACAGCATGGGTATGTACACAGCATGGGTATGTACACAGCATGGGTATGTACACGCATTCACACATGTGCTGCTTTTGATGCCTCCCCAACAGTCTCAACAAACTCTTCAGTGTTTACGCCATCTGCCCGGCTCTTCTGTAAGGTTCACTTGCCCATTTATGGTAGCATTGTAGCCTGCGCCTACTAGTAGTACCGACGGTTCTGATTAGATATAGACATTAAGGCAATTAGCTATCCTAGACTCCTAGTACTGTAGTATGCCCTTTGTTGTGAAACCTGCCTGGTGCCATGGAAACCTGCCTGGTGCCATAGGAACCTGCCCGATGCCATGGAAAGTTGGAAACCCACCCGATGGTATAGAAACCTGCCTGATGCCATGGTCCCAGGCTAGCACTATGCCATCGCGTGCTGTTGATGTTCTTAATGAACGTTACCATGGTTTCCTCTTCACTTTGCTGTATGATCCTCTCTGGTATCTGCCTGTAGGCTGGTGACTCATTTTTCCATGCAGACTGCTCGAAGTGTGTGGAGTGTGGCAAAGCAGTGGGCGAAGACATTGATGTGTTTGTATTAGGTACGATATGTGTTTGTATTTGGTACGATCTGTGTTTGTATTTGGTATGATTTGTGTTTGTATTTGGTACGATATGTGTTTGTATTTGGTACGATATGTGTTTGTATTTGGTACGATATGTGTTTGTATTTGGTACGATATGTGTTTGTATTTGGTACGATATGTGTTTGTATTTGGTACGATATGTGTTTGTATTTGGTACGATATGTGTTTGTATTTGGTACGATATGTGTTTGTATTTGTTACGATATGTGTTTGTATTTGGTACGATATGTATAGGATATTGACCAAGACGAGGTCTATATGGGAAATATAGGCCGAGTAAAAGACCGAGGTCCGCCGAGGTCTTTTACGAGGCCTATATTTCCCATATAGACCGAAGTCGAGGTCAATATCCTATTTATCACGATTCCTTTGCCATAACCCCAAAATTTGAACCTTTAGGAGCTATTTTAACCTTTTTAGTATAGCATTTATACTATAGTGTACATAGGATGTTGCCTATTTTGGGTACAAGACTGTAAGAACAACAGAGTTCAGCATCTGCAGCACAGTGGCTGGTTGGTATAAAGGGTTGCTTGAGATTCATACTGTTGTGAGTTCGAATCCTGCTTGTTCTCTTCCTTTGTCTTCTTTCTTTCAATTTTTCTTTTTGAAGTGGAGAGAAAAATTCTAAGTCCCTCCAAAGTCGAAAGATTACAATGCCTAAGTGGTCAATACAAGCGGTCGATATAAGCGGTCGATATTGCGGCGATATGGGTAATATCAAGAGTAGATAAACAAGAGTGTGCAACTCCAGCTATGGGGTCTGCGACGGCAGAACTTCACATCACGTGATGAACCCGTGCACTCTAGTGCATGATAGATACTGGGTTGTACGCAGCCCAGCTTTGGGTACAACTCTCTTGTGGTCACTTTGCACTGTTTGCCAGCATAACCTTTTGAACCATGTCACGTGATGTGAAGTTCTGCCGTCGCAGCACAGCATAGAGGTTGTGCAGGCAGTTGCACACTCTTGTTTATCTACTCTTGGTAATATCAAGAGTAGATAAACAAGAGTGTGCAACTCCAGCTATGGGGTCTGCGACGGCAGAACTTCACATCACGTGATGAACCCGTGCACTCTAGTGCATGATAGATACTGGGTTGTACGCAGCCCAGCTTTGGGTACAACTCTCTTGTGGTCACTTTGCACTGTTTGCCAGCATAACCTTTTGAACCATGTCACGTGATGTGAAGTTCTGCCGTCGCAGCACAGCATAGAGGTTGTGCAGGCAGTTGCACACTCTTGGGTTATGTACTCTTGGTAATATAGGACCAGTCAAGGATCACGAGAATTAGTGGAGGTCGATATAGAAGAGTGATAAGTGTTTGTATTTGGTACGATATGTGTTTGTATTTGGTACGATATGTGTTTGTATTAGGTACGATGCTCCCATTGATGTGTTTGTATTAGGTACGATATGTGTTTGTATTAGGTACGATATGTGTTTGTAAAGTTATTAGGTACGATATGTGTTTGTAAAGTTATTAGGTACGATATGTGTTTGTATTAGGTACGATATGTGTTTGTATTTGGTACGATATGTGTTTGTATTAGGTACGATGCTCCCATTGATGTGTTTGTATTAGGTACGATATGTGTTTGTATTAGGTACGATATGTGTTTGTAAAGTTATTAGGTACGATATGTGTTTGTAAAGTTATTAGGTACGATATGTGTTTGTATTAGGTACGATATGTGTTTGTATTTGGTACGATATGTGTTTGTATTTGGTACGATATGTGTTTGTATTTGGTACGATATGTGTTTGTATTTGGTACGATATGTGTTTGTACATGTATTTGGTACGATATGTGTTTGTATTAGGTACGATGCTCTTCCATTCTGACTAGTGTACTAGTATTATGAAACTGTGCAGGTTGGGGCAGCAGCTAGGCATGTGTCCAAACTGATCATCAAGCGAGTGTAGCCGGAATGCAATGTTCAACCCATACCAAGGTATTATACATGTGAATAAATTCTTTGAGTCCCAAACCAACCGATGCTGGTAGTCCTATCCAGCCAACAGTTCATTGGTTGTGCACTGGTGAGTGGTGGCTTCTTGCCTGCACTGAATGCTATGGATCTGTGAGAAACAGGTGCCACTGTAACTCTACCATGTGAAGCCTATGACTCGGCAAGGTTTACGTGAATTACCTGGACTGATCGGGCCGCAGGGCAGCCATTTATATGGTATGTTCTGACCCAGTGTGTGGGATATAAGGTCAGGTATGGACGTTGCATGTGTTAAGTCCCATCCAGATATTTTTAGCTAGGCACAGTGCTGCGGCGTTTTCCTTCAACCCTCACTCTCGTGTTGCCGGTGTGTGCGTGCTCAGGGTCTCAAGTTTGGCACAGTGAATGTTACTCCGGATCTCAGCATAGCAATCAGGTAAGGCAAGGAGGATATGTGACTCATGTTTGCTAGTATCGGCCAATTGTTCCCTGTAGTGGCTACCATACGACGTCCCATGGTCTGATGCCTGGAATCTACTGGATGGGAATGCTTCGTCTTGCCAGCTTCTGTCTGCTATGTTTGCTACACATACTGCAGCAAAAAGATGCCACGGAGAGTGGGGACGTGAACCAAGGAGATGTGATTGTGAAGTCCCCATTGCCTCGCCTTCTTGTGGAGGATTCCGAACCCATCACCATTGAGCCGGCGCTGGATTCCAGGAATGTATCTGCTTCACTATCCGCAGTGCCTGCCACCGCAGCGGGATCCGTTGCGTCAGCACAGGCAGGATTGGCGATCGTATCTCCACAGTCGTCGCTGAACGAGTCACCGGAAAAGAGACCAGACAGTCAAGACAGCACAGGTACACACACACATACACAAGCCTGTGTGCACACACGCACATACATACACCGCTGCACAATGCTGTACAGAACCTGGCTTGGGTGCAGAGTTGCTCATGAGGCACCACACAACTATAGCACTGTATGTATGCAAGAGAGGCTGAATGACGCCCACTGCCCATGCAGTGCTGCTGCATTCTACAGGAGTGTGTGTGTGTGTGTGTGTGTGTGTGTGTGTGTGTGTGTGTGTGTGTGTGTGTGTGTGTGTGTGTGTGTGTGTGTGCGTGCGCGTGTGTCTGTGTGTCTGTGTGTGTGTGTGTGTCATTGACTACCACTGCGTGTGAATTCGTTCGGTTCCTGTAAGTGGTCATATACATAACACTACTTCACATGAAGAACAAAGACGTAATGATGCGACCACTTCCAGGCTGGAATGATTATGGTGCCATGAATTTTATGTTGCACACGTGCTATCAACAGTTACCCAATGTTTCCCTGCATTACCAGGGCAGGAGTGTGCAATCACTAGGCTGAGCGAGGAGTTGCCATCCGGCTGCAATGGTGCCGTTAAAACAATAGTTGAAGTGATCCATTAGATTTATTCACAGACCGTTTAGAGTGATCTTTAACAATTACATGAATTTTGGCTGCAGTGGAGTCTTCACAATCTGAAAAAACAACATTTTAGTCTCGTCTGGTTTTTGGTTGAAGATCGAGTTTTACCTTCTGCTTACCATTGCCAACAGGTGGTGATAGTGCTATATCCTGCACAACACCCACCGGTACCAGCTCTGAAGCGGAAGCAAGCGAAGTGTCGGTTGCGGCCAATGCGCACATGCCCAATAGCGGTGTACAGAGCATTGACCATCACGGCAGAGAAGACAAGGAGAATGAGCTCAGTGCTGACCACTTGCTGGGTCTCTCGGATCCTCCAAGCCGAGCACCGAGCGGTAAGAATGCCAAGTTAAGGTAGTATTTCAAGAAAGGGGCCTTACCCCCCCCCCCCCCTCTTTAAGTTGCATAAAATGTCCACTCCATTCAAGGTGCTGTTGCTGGTGTGCACAATTGTGATACTCAGTTGTCCCTACAACCTGCTTTATGTATCATGTTCGAATGGGAGTAGTGTTGTACATGTATTGGTGCTCCAGTATGTATCATCGAGAGGCACACCAAGGCCGCGGTATCTACACAACGATACATACCCACCTAACTATAGATTTAACTGATGTGTCTCAGCATGTGTTTCCATTCGTCACTGTTCATACCTGCCCTGTTTCAGAAGCTTCATCAGTATTTGCTAATGGTGAGCATGACTCGTACCCGTCAACCCCGACACCAACACCGAGCGTTGTGCAGCGCACCCCATCCACCAGCTCTGCTGGCTCTGGTAGTCGCATCAGGCCAAAGTCTATAGCTGCCGTTCCCATGAGATCAGGTATGGCTGCTGCTGTAGTTCATGTAACTCAACTGCGACATGCACACCTTGACTCTGCTGCTGTAGTTCATGTAACTCAACTGCGACATGCACACCTTGACCATTTCTCTCACAAGCTATACATGTACGATGCATGTTTAAATTGTTTATTGTTAGCCTTTTTAGCCTTTTTAGCTCTGTTTTCATTACCTCATGAGTACGCGCTTTGCAAGAGCTAGAACAGCAACAGAATTCCAATGGACTATGTTTTTCTTTGGATGTGTTTGTAACCTTTTGTGATGCGTTTAGTGTTTTGCCATCCATGCTTGCAGCTTAGGGGTCGTCGCGAAAGTGTTATCCCTGAAATGAACATTGTTCATTTCGTACTCTGACCCCCGCCCACCGCACAAAGTAGATGCAGGTTACCATTCTGGACATTCTGGACACTCTGGACGGCGCAACTTGCATGCATGCACATGTACAGTGTCGGTCGACTTGTGATTTTGGCTCTTCAGCGACGACAAAAACCCTTTTCTGACGACCCCATGCTGCCGGGAAGTGGAGGTTACATTCAGTCGTCATTTGCATTGTACTACTTTCTCCCCTGATTTGAGTCAATGGTAGTGGCATCGGATCCCGAGCATACTCAGTCGTACTGCCAGCATACACATCTACAGTGTAGAACTGTTCCTTGTGTTGCTCTTGTGCTCGTCAGGCTCTAGCCGGTCATCGTCGTCCAGTTCTTTCAACTGGAAAGAAATGTATCCGGTGGATGACAAGGAAGAGGTAAGTTGTACGTCGTCATTACCAATTTACCACACCCGCATAGAGAACTGCACATGGCGGAATTTGAATTCTCCCCACGTTCCTGTGCTTCTGCACTTTCACACACGCACCCGTCCACTCGCGCGCGCGCGCACACACACACACACGTGCACACACACACATACACACGTGAACACACACATCATTTTGTGGCTTTTGAGGCACAGACCTGTGATGCATCTGATTTTCTATGCGACTATACATGTACCCATCCTGTCTGGGAGCTGCACTGCTGTGACGAGTGTTTGCTGCTCACTGTTGTGTTGCTTGCAGGTACCGGAGCAGCCGTTGCCTAAAGCATGTGCAACTGTGAAGTCTCTAGCGCATGGCGTGGTTTCGCCATCTACAGGTGGTAAGAAATCCTGTCCTCCAAAATGCTGTTGCATTGCTATATGAGTGTCTTTGATAGTATCATTGGAATGTTTTAAGGCTGCATGGTGGTGGTGTGTGTGTGTGTGGGGGGGGGGGGGGGGGAGGTTAGGTGTACGTCACACCAGCTGCACAACACCGATGTTCATAAGTAGCCACCGGCATGGTGTGCTCAGTTCTTGGCTTTGTGATCACCAGTACACATGTATTATGTGGCCTTGTCACGGATACTCATGGAGTTTATGTTTCGCGGCTTTTGTTTTGCTTGGTTTGGGTTTGTGCATGCGCGTTGATCGTGTATGAATACAGCTGATAGGTTTCTCCGGCGAGACAGCCGGCCTGGATCACAAGCATCTGTTGCTTCAGCAGAGAAGGTAAGCAGTTTTTTTTTAATAGAGGCCACTGGCGCTCCCCCCCCCCCCCCCCCCCCCCTCTTTCCATAGCAGCGTTGTGGATGGTCCATGGACACCTTTCTCTATAATGGGGCAACACAGTGCTAGAACACTACTAGATGATAATAACTAATATGATACGTCACAGTATATGCGGGTGCTATGTACAATGGCGTTGATTTTCTTTCAAGTTTGTAAGTTATGTCACGGTGTCAATATTGCAGCATGATTGGCAATGCATGTAGGTATGGACACATTGCATTCTAACACTCATTAGTGGAGGGAGTTTTAAAGTGACAAAACACACATTGGCAAAGTTCTGTTTGTCTGACAATGCAGGCTGCATCTCCCACCAGTCCGCCTCCCCATTCACTAAACAACCGCCATGCATCTAAGCCCAGTGAAGGTCAATCGGAACATCCACCGCCGACTCCATCCTCACCCCTGTCACTCATTGAAGAGGCAGAGTCTTCTTCACCGCAAACACCGCACAAGGAAACACAGGTAAGAAGTATGCTGTCATCGGATTACACTATCCCATTATAGGATACAGTGCACCAGTAGTACGATTTACCTCCATATGAGTCAACAATTTACACCAGGCTTTTTAACAGGCTGGTCGTGGTCACCTGATCGACTGTATTGCACGGGTGAAGTGTAGGCAGCCTGATAGCAAGGCTCTTCCAGCCTGATAGCAAGGCTCTTCCAGCCTGATAGCAAGGCTCTTCCAGCCTGGTAGCAAGGCTCTTCCAGCCTGGTAGCAAGGCTCTTCCAGCCTGCTAGCAAGGCTCTTCCAGCCGCCGCCCGTACGTCTTCCGTCACATTGTGTTTGTTTCAGATGATGCATGCACCCTGAAGCAGTGTTTTGTTGAGTGGTTTGAAGGACTCCGGGACAGCTAGTGCAAGATGCTAGTAGCCGTTACTGGACAGGTGGCTAGTGCTAAATAGCCGTTACTGGACAGGTGGAGCAAAAAGACCTAGACATGATTCAGCGGAGTACCCTTGGTTGGGAGAAGTATCACGCGTGCCAATTCCGACAATGCAGTTCTACGTCCCTTGAAAAGTGGGCCAGCCTAGAGTAGAAATGGTGGCAGTAGCTGTGAACTTCCCAGATGTTTAGTTGAGTTATTAGTAGTACAGTCGTCCCTCTCTAATCCGGCACTTTATAATCCAGCACCCTCGATAAACCAGCACAATTTTCAGTAGCCAAATGTCCTCTTCATGCACATTGCAGCAGTAGATCAGATTTGTTAATCCAGCACCCTCCCTAATCCAGCAGATTTCCGTGGCACAAGTGGTGCCGGATTATAGAGGGACCACTGTATTAGTAGTATTAGTAGTATTAGTAGTATTAGCAGTATTAGTAGTATTAGTAGTATGAGTAGTATTAGTAGTATTAGTAGTATTAGTACTGACAAGCCTCTTTTACGGGCAAAATAGCGGAAACGTGAAATCGTAAATCGTTGAAGATCAATTCAATTAAAAAAAAACAAAAAAAAACTCCTTTAAATAACGTCAAATCAATTAGTAAATTTAATGTCAAAAGAAGGCCAAATCAAATTTTTTAAAAAACTTTAAACTCAAAGTGAAAATTAAAGTAACAGGTCCCGTCATGTATGCAAGTCTAAGCCAATGTCAATATAAATTACCTGTCATGAATGTTATGAATGGATGTGCATGCATTGTGGAGAACTGTCCGTATACCTATCCAATTCAACAAATAGACAGACAAATGACAACAGAGTGAAGTACCTACATTGTACATACATCCTACACCGTACCATCGGTAGTGAGTCCACCTGGTGCCAAGTCGGCGTCTCAGCAGCCCCCTTGCCATGGCAACAGCTCATCTGCCACCCATCTGCCGGCACTCCACCAGGAAAGACGACTGGCGACGCCGCTGGTAGGAGGCCCGGCACCCGCGGAAAAAGGTGACGGCCCACCGAAGTAGGCAAAATGAAATGCGTACCCGCAACCGGTTGATGAGGACGGAGTACGGGACATCGATGTGACGCCTGGACAGGTATGTCGCCAGCGTCGATAGAAATTTCGCGCACTCCGGTGCCGCCAGGCCCTGCGTCGTAAACACAAGCGGCGTAAATGACGCACGCTCGATGTTGACGATCCGTGGCCCATACTCGGCCTTCTTACGCCGCTCGTGAGACCTGAGCTGGCCAAGGACTTCTGAACGAGACAGCACAGACGCCTTAGGGTGGGTTACCCTAACATCAAAATAGGCGTCCTGCTGCCTTGTCCAGAAGCCCCTGGCTCGGATGTCCGCTCGGGCCTCGTCCTGGCGATTCAGCTGGCGTCCGGGTAAATCCTCCCCATGCATGGCCGCCAGCCTAGGCTCCTTTTCGACGTCCTGGGCGACATCAACCAACACCTCCGCGAGCAGATCACGGATATTGTCGTGCCGCGCACCAGGATAGCCGCCGGTCGGGCATACAAACATGTGATCCCGCACGGCAGGGTGACCACACACACAGGTCGTCGCGGTGTCCCTGAGATCCAGGTCATAACGGATACAGAGGGCGTCTCTGAAGTCATTGTAATTCAGCACGGTGCCGTACCGGGACATCGGGTCCGCCGTCAGCCATGACGATATGCCGGGCTCACCCGCAATCTCGATCAACAACTGCTGCGGGGGCGATAGCTCACGAGAAACGGCAGCAGCCAGATCCGATGCTTGGCGGTCCCTCTCCCGCCGCATGGCAGCAGCACGAGTCCGTGCGAGGGCAAGGGCAGCGAGGATGGGATGGTCATCCCCAGGCCGAGGATCTCGAGATGCTCCAATATTCCGAGGCTCAGTGCGAGAGCGATGGAGTAGATCCCGCATGGGCTCAGTCGCACGCAGGGCACGCTGGTGCTCATGCTCTGTAACAACCGAGGCAATTGGCAACCCAATTCCACCACGTCGACAGGGCAGAGACAGCAAACGCCGCAGCGGGGAGTCGTCCGAGAAGTGATGGCCGGTGACAGCAGGTAACAACTTGTCGGTCACACTGCTGTCAATGGGTGCCAACACCTCCGGACCGCACTCCATGGCCCGTGATATGAATTTCCACCTTGGCACCAGGGATCTTACGGCAACGGCGTAGCTGGCATGAGGCTGGGTAGCGGCATACTCTCCACAGCGATTCATCTGGGCTGTGAGTCCCTAAACCCGTTGATCCAGAAACTCACGACAGAACTCGACTGTGCCAAAGGCACCACCCAGGCAACGAGCACCGTCCGTCCGAATAGAGACGACGGTATCCCGAAAAAGATCCCGGGCCTCCACCTCGACTTCCGGCTTCACAACGAGCACCGTCTTCGTGGGGTTGGGCAAGTACCCATACACCGGACCCAGGTTGCTGATACTCCGCCAGTACTTGCGTAGAGCACGAAGACGTCCCAGTGCGGAATCGTCATCAGCATACCATAACTGCTCAGCATCTGGGACAAGCTCCTGCAGTCGATGGATAAGCGGCATGATGGCTAGTGCATACATGGCCATGGCAATTGGGTCGCCTTGGCATGTACCCTCACGAGATTGAACTTCACCACCACCCGTCACGAAGAGCCGGATCGGTTCTCGGTAGGTGTTTCCCACGATCAGTGACATAGCGGGACAAGTACGGGCGATGTTGTAAACAGCTGCTGAACGATTAACGCTGTTGAAGGCATTGCTGGCGTCAACCAGCAATACGCCCTCGACATCATCCTGGGCGAAACGTGATGTTATGTGATGGACACCAACCTCACAGGCAGAGTAGTATTAGTAGTATTAGTAGTATTAGCAGTATTACTGAGTAGCCCTCGCTGAGTACTTGTATGGGCTATGTGTGTTAGCTGTCATTTTAAGTGACAGACTGTTTTTTGACTGCCTTTGTTTGACACTGACAGGGTGCGGCATCACAACCCGCTGCCTCTACACAGGGGAGGCGTGACAAAGCAACATACCCACTCGAAAAACTGCAGCTATCTGACACTGATGTACTGCTGCCGAAGGGTGTAGAAAGATCGCGATTGGAGGTAGGCCATGCTTGTGTTTCTGGTGTTGCCTTCTGCACCGAACTCTGCCAACTGGGCCGGGTGTGGGTTTTCAAAGAAGTACAGCTGATCTGTGCAGGACATGTCTTCTTGAACAGTCATCACAGTTTTCATTTAAGATCATCAGAGGTGTCACTGTAGTCTAGTTGCACTAGTCCTGTGCAGCACATGCATACTCGGGTAGCAGCACATGCATACTCGGGTAGCAGCACATGCATACTCGGTATAGCGTGTACATTGTACTAGTATGCCAGGAGCTGAGATGCGACACCTGCTGAGCGGCATACTTTGAAGTGAATTCGAGTTTGATTCTAATGGAGAATGCATAGAAAGAGCTCCCATTTTTTTTAAAATTAAAGTCCCACATAGACTCACCAGCTTTTGCTATTCAGCTCTTCCTAATAATGTTGCTTCAGGTCAGATTTGATCCGTTGCTGTGGTTCATTAATGTTGTGCTGCTGGTGTGCAGGAGTACTTGGATGATTCCGACTTTGAGAAAGCTTTGGGTATGAACCGACCCACCTTCTACAAGCTACAGGTTTGGAAACAGCGTGAGCTGAAGCGCAAAGCCAAGCTCTTCTGATGGCCATGTGTGGCATCCCGGCGGACAGCACCTTCTGCAGGAGCAGCCTGAAGAGGGAGTGCACATGTGTGTGTGTGTGTGCACGCGTCGGCGCGTGGGAGAGAGAGAGAGAGAGAGAGAGAGAGAGAGAGAGAGTTACATGTCAAGTTTAGTCGCCATAGATCACATAATCACTTAGTCGCTCAATTTAATAGGATGTTGCTTGTTCTCTTTGAAGTCTGCCGAAGTTGCAGGAGAATCTGCTTACCCTCCAGCGTCCTTGTTGTAAACAATTCTCACTTCCATGTCGTGACCATTCCTCAAACATGAACCATTGATCCGCTTTGACGTCGCTTATTTGGTAACTGCTAGTCTATTTGGTAACTACTAGTCTAATTATTATTGACTTCACTACAAGTACTACTCTTCTCATGTCACGTTAGGTCACATCCAATCGAGTCCGTGATGCAAAGATTGTCCACACATTGCTGTGTGTACTGCATGCCTGTGTGCAGTACAGTAGTAGTAGACCTGTTATCAGTCCGTATACTCATACATGTAAATGCTCATCTCATTGTCCAATACCGGTACTAGCATCTGATTGTCCAATACCGGTACTAGCATCTGATCGTGCATGGCTTTGATTTCTGTTGATTTCCCTTTTAAAGGTTTTGATCGGCAATGCTAAATTAAATTGTCGATTCTGTACATGCTATTTCGTTATATAATCAGTCTCATTCTGCTAAGATTTTAGGTGGTTTGTGCTTTGAAGTACACGAGGGGCAGAGGATAGAAATCTGCGAATATCCTCTAGTCTAGAATATTGCCAACTACACAAGTCCTGTTGCGAGTACAATAGTCATTATAGACGTGTGCACTTGTACTATTTTAAAATTTAATGGGTTGTTTTGCCACGCTCACGGTATGCAGGATGTCTTGACCTGAGCTCAAGGTCAAGTTCATTGCGGAGGCGTGCATGCCCAGAATGAAAACAAAAAAAAATCGCCACCATGGTTGCTGGAGTGATCGTCTTTTCTTGGTTGTACATTGACATTCTCTCAGCATATGGTACTCCAGAAATCTATAAAAAAAAAGGTGGAGTTGCATGAAGAAGAAAAAAACTATTCCGTTTTTTTTTAAAGATAAAAGAAAGAGTAATCTCATAATAACGTTATAGCAGTATGTCTGTACAACAACAGCGACAAATACAAAACTCAAAAACATCGAAAAGGAATACTGGCGTATGCAGATAAGAACTGCACGTTGTAGCTATTTCTCTTGCAGCCATTTGCTCTTTTCGAAACACAAAGGTTCAGGCCTACTACTGCTACTAGTATTGGCAAACAACACTGGCGCAGAGTGAAATCATCACGGAGAGAGACCGAGTGAAATCATCACGGAGAGAGACCGAGTGAAATCATCACGGAGAGAGACCGAGCCAACGCGTGGTGTACACTTCAAAAAAGAGGTTGGGCAGAAAAAATCCAAACTGAATGTGTTGAGAGAAGAATAAGTAAACCAATTCATAGCTGATGAACAGCTGCTGGAAGAGTTACGTCAGACGAGAACAAGACGGTAGCAACGAGGAGAAGCTTTATAATAATAGGTCAGCTGGGAACAAGGCAGCAGTGAGGAGAACCTCAGGTCAGCTGGGAACAAGATAGCAGTGAGAAGAAGCTTAGGTCAGCTGGGAACAAGATAGCAGTGAGGAGAACCTTAGGTCAGCTGGGCACAAGATAGCAGTGAGGAGAAGCTTAGGTCAGCTGGGAACAAGATAGCAGTAAGGAGAACCTTAGGTCAGCTGAGAACAAGACAGCAGTAAGGAGAGGCTTAGGTCAGCTGGGAACAAGACAGCAGTGAGGAGAGGCTTAGGTCAGCCGAGAACAAGACAGCAGTGAGGAGAGTATTAGGTCAGCCGAGAACAAGCCCGCGATGAAGAGAAGAACAGCAGAAGCAGCGACCGCTATGTGTACGGATAATTGGCTCATCCCACAGCAACAGGGCATCTGCATCCAGGGAACTGCATAACAAAGCAGTGTTAGAGGGGGAGACTAGGCATTCTACCACAGGGGTTATCTACGCACAAGAAAGCTGGTGTTCGTGAGGATGGAACCTGACACACGCGTGTGCACCCACTGGGTGGGATGTCGTGGTCTCAACCATCGTCTGTTAGCCGGCGCTGAGCAAAACAACAATCATGCACATACACACACACAGACAAATATACTCAAGTACAGGACAAAAAAGGACAATTGATTTAGGATTTGCCAGCTAAAACTAAGACCCCCAAGCTTCTGCAGCCGGAATGAGCACCTTTGTAATGTCCACTTCAAGCATATTTGCGAGCACTATCGCCGCAGCACGAAGCATTTGTGGACAACAATCAACCATGTCACCCATCGCACATGTACCCACATCCCTCCTGCAATTCCGGCCAATGACCTGAACGACTTCTTCTGCAGCATTGTTACGGACACAAACCCGACATGGTGCATGGTCCTGCCAAATCGTCTGATTTCACGGAGATCAAACCGGTCACCGTCGATCGTGTCTGGAAACAGCTAAAGTCGCTGAGCATCGGCAAAGCCCCAGGACCTGATGGTCTTCTGACATACCTCCTGAAGACTACTGCAGCAGTAATAGCCCCTTCCCTGACTGTAATCTTCAACACCTCGCTACAAACAGCAACTTTTCCCTGGATCTTTAAAGCAGCGCACATTACCTGCATGGTGATTGCACTTCGGCATGTAATGATCGCCCAGTCAGGGCCAGTGTCCCTGACTAGCATCTTTTAAAGTAAAGTGCTTGAACGTGCAGCATGTACATTCACACTGAGAAAAACTGCTACAGTCGTCCTTCTTTAGTCCAGCACTTCATTAACCAGCACCCTCTATAAACCAGCATAAGTTTCAGCAACCAAAATGTCCCTTTCATGCACATAGCAGCAGTAAATCAGATGTTCTAATCCAGCACCCTCCCTAATCCAGCAGACTTTCCGTAGCACAAATGGTGCTGGATTATAAAGGGACCACTGTATAATGTGTATTCCGTCAAGGCAAAAGAATCACCACCAGTTGCCTAGCCTTAGCCTGGCTGGTGTGCAGCTGCAAATAGTGGATGTGATTCGTCGTCTTGGCGTGATTGGGGACAAACAATTATCTTTCGTCAGCTAAGTCAATAATATAGCCTGCAAAGTACCTAGTAAAATCGAAATTTTGAGGCGAATATTCCACCTGTCATTGTTTGCTTTTAGGCGATATCTGCTGAGTGCCATCCAACCGGACATTGAATATTGCTTGTCCGTCTTTGCTCAACACCTTTCTGCCAGCACTAAAGAACATCTCTTTGGACTTTATCGCAGCGCAGTGCGTGCTGCGTGTGGCGCATCCTTTAACCCTTTACCATCCGTGCGTACTTGAATCGATCTCTAGAGATCGATGGACATGCGTACACTAAAACATTCGAAACTCGATCGATTCTTGTCGGAATGTAAATAACTAAGTATCTAGGAAGAAGCCGAAGAGCTCAGCTTTCCATTGCATCATTCGGTGAAGAGCTGCGATGTCCCATTCTAAAGATATTCCGCTCGACATTTCGGCCACGGCAAAAGTCGAATTTCTTTCTGAGTGACTGACCTTGAGCGGGGAGTTTCCCCTCTCCTGACATGCTGAGTCACTTTTGCATGCTTTGAGTGCGTGGGCAGCATGAAAAGAAACTCAAGCAAAAAATTTGGATTGTTTACGATGAAGTAGCGAGAAATGGCTGGCGAGGAGAGAATTTCCTCGTATATCAAGCGATGGGGTGTATTTGAAGCTCCCTGGCGCTGGATATGTGATCTTGGTAGTGTCCTGTTTGACCTCAATGGACGCAGCGCGTGGAGAGCTTTCCAGAATGCCCAAGTTTGTGAAAATTGGTTGATTAGAACCGAAGATATTCTCAGAATAAGGTGAAAATTATTGCATTTGGGACTGCTGGGGAATTTTGGTCGGATGGTAAAGGGTTAATGCTGATGTCGCGCCCCTCTTAGCAAGTCTGAATCTAAAGTCGTTAGAGTATCGCTGCCTACATACATATCTTTTGTTCACATTTGCATGCTATATTGGAAAGCCAGCCCTTTGTTTGGCTCACCGTTTCCCCTCTTTTTGCAGTGCACATTCCACTCGTGCCACAGTGACTCTCAACAGGACAATTCAATTGTATCACTCCAAGATAGGATAGAATTCGTTCTCTTCGCGAGCCTCATCGCTTTGGAATGCACTACCAGCTAGTCTTAAAACATGCAAGGATGCTTCGGATTTTGCCGCTCAGCTTTCACATGTCCTAAACGATTCCAATAAAATTGTCTGTTGTCTCGCCCCTTCTGTTCAACAATGCATTTAATGTTTGAGTTTCCCGATGACTGTAACTTGAGCCTGTGTCCATGCTTTGCCAGCTAGTTGTTAGTAAAAGCCACATGTATTGCAGTAAGTGGGCTTCGACAAAATGCTCCACCTTTTTTTCTCACTCCCTTTCTGATGACCCTCAGTTAATGTGTTTTCTGTGCGACCCTCTTTGAAGTTGTACATTGTGCTGTTGAGGCAACGAATTACTAAAATAAATCAAAAACAAAAAACAAAAATCATACAGTTCATTCAGAAATCATTGATCTCTGCGGTCGTTCAAATCAAAAGTGGGCCGAAAGGGGCTCAAAACCGATCCTAATTCGCCCTGTTCTAAATACGCAACACTTGGCCAAAAGATAATTTCAATATGGTCCACATTGGCTAGGTATACCTAAACACTTTTTAATAGGAAGCGATTCTGAAATAGGCTCAAACTCTGGACCAATTTATGGCCAAGCACAAGAATCTGATGATCATCATTTCCAGACTGGACTCTAGATGCAGACTATACAGTGTGTTTAAAATTGCATGGGCTGTATTCAGGAAATAGTGTAGGCTTACTGAGTAGAATTTTCGGCGATTCTGGCCAGGACTCGAACTATCATGGGCAGCACCAAACTGTGAGTAATTCTTGCCGTTGCTGGTGTAAACACACAAGCACACACACCCGGGGGCCACACACATATAAAATTGGTACAGGATTTAAAAAAGAGAGAAGTATGTCGGGATCCACAACAGGAAAACAAACAGAACATAAACTTGCAGTAGCACAGCGAAGTTTCCAGCATTTCAAAGAAAATGAAGAGACAGCTACTTGTACTAGTCTTTCAACATACTTCAGTAAATAATAACTATACAGTCCAATGGCAATTTCGGCAAAGTTCTTTCGCACACGCGCGCGGGGGGGGGGGGGGGGGGAGTATTCGGTATTTCGTGACAGATAATGACTTGTCTTTGTTCTACAGTACAGATTTTGTTTCAATGGGAAAGGTTCTTGGGAGACTGTGATGATTGGCAGTACACAGTGTTTTGCATGGCATCCTGTGGGGATTGGACCCATAGACCTTGGGTGGAACGTAATATGTAACAAGTCTCTAGAACGTTTTTTAATGACTTCGAAAGAAAATTATAATCAGGCTTCTCTCGTCCATGACGAAGTACGCATCATTCAATACCTCATAGCCAACACGACTACTTGAGAAATTGAGATGAAGGTAGAGTCATCTAAGTCACCTGCATCTCCAATTACAAAGGGAATATCACAAATGAGGAGATGGACTTTCCCGGCTATTTTTATAGTGTACCTCGAAGCGGCACTTCATAGATCTTCGATCGGCACTGCCACCGGGACCGATTGCCGACACGCAACTACCATCGGAAACAGCGTATGCCGACGACGCTGATTTCATTTCAACATCCCACGCGTATCTCCGTCAGCTTCTGACACTTGCAGAGGGCATCTTTGACAAGTGGCATCTCAAAGTCAATGTCTCGAAAACAGAATGAGTCAAACATACCTTGAATCAGTGGCGAAAGCAGCAGTACACCAGACAACTGCACGTGGTCAGGAGCTAGGGAGCAGGGTCAGGACTCTGGGTTCTCTATTTGGCACCACACAAGATGTAGCATGCAGGATTGGTCTTTCTGCTGTGGCATTTGGTCAAATGAGGGCGACATGGTTTCGGCGGCAACATGTACAGACTAATATCATGGAAAACTCTCTGTTCAGAAGATCCCGAGGTCTGAACCAACGACTATATGTCACATGCATGGTTGTGCTGTACTGCTACGCATCTGCTTCTAGTATGCTTGCATTCATGGTAGCATTGACTGTAGACCTGAGCGGTCACGTGCATGCTTCTGTCTCGCGAGTTCCCGGATGCATGCACCGGAGCTTGCGCCGCGCTGTGCTGCGCTGCTTTTGTTTAGTTCCTGGTTGTTGGACTTTTAGTAGTGTTTTAGACTAGTTGGTGTGAACAGTTGCTTTTCGGAGTTCATGTAGAAAGTTCAAGGTTATTGTTTCTTCGAATCGCTTTCCGTTGTGCACGAATGTGGAATGTGTCACTGTGTGAGTGAGCTTTTCTTAGTAACAGAAAATTGGTAGCAGAGGATGGTTACTAAAAGGAATTAGCTCAGCAGATTGATTGTGATCATCGTAGTGTTCGCGTTGCGATTTGTAGCAGTGCGTCTCGAACCTGGAATAGGGTGCGGATAATGGCATCGTCGGAACCCACGACCTTGGAGTATGCTGCGGAGCCGAGTGCTGGAGAATTGGAGGACGACTATGAAGAAAGGCCAAATTCGGGCCGCCGTCGCTCCTCAACTCCAGAGCGAGAGGAAGCAGCTGGGGATCGTGGAGCGGGCCTAAACTCAGCGCAAGTGGAGAGCGAACTGAGAGTGAGAAAGGCCGCCATCAAAGGGCAGTTCACGAGAGCGAGACGAGGCTTGCTAGTGCAGCTAAATGCCGATGGTCCATGCGACATCGAAGGGATCTCGCAACATCTGGAAGGCCTAACGACACTGTACGATGGAGCTACTAGTTTGTTGGCAGACATGATCGGCAGCTGCCAAGACGTTCGCCAGCGGAATAAACTGGCAAGTGAGTTGGAAGCACAGGAGACTCAATTTTCGGCGGCCATGGACCGAGCGCAGGCCAAGATCGATGTCAACAAACTGAGCGAAGCCCATCCGCAGTCACCGTCACAAGGCCGAACGGACATCATCTCGTCTCCTCATGAGGACACAGTACACACACTGTCTGGGAGTCAGCGTGGAAACCCGACAGAGACTGTTGGCAGCAAAACCATTGTTCCTGTAAGTACAAGCACTCAGGTCGGTAGGACACTTGACGCGTATACAGGTAGAGCTAGTGCAATGTCGTACACCAGCATCAGTGATCTGTCAGTGTCAAGTGTGAGCGCCAGCCCTGTTCAGTCTGTACAAGACACTGTACTGCCTACCTCAGCACCAGTGACAGGGACAACCATCAATTGCATCACAGGTAGCAGCAGCCTCACTGCAGCCACTACCTTGACTACTGGTCTAAGCATGACTAGACCACTTGCCTCACTGGCTGCACCCAGGAGTGGTACCAGACAGCCATCCACCAGTCAAGCTGTGGCCAGCAGCCGGCCTGCATTCAGTAGCAGCAGACTGAATGCAGGGGCAAGTGTGTATGTGCCATCTGCACCATCTGCACTGCCTGCTGCCAGTAGAGCCTGGCCAGGTGGCGCAACCAGTCCTTGGACGCACATGCAGCGCATTGAGATCCCCACATTTGCAGGAGATAAACGAAGTTTCGAGGCCTGGTGGGCTGCGTTCTCAGCGTGCGTGGACAAATTGCCAGTGTCACCAGAGTGCAAGATGCTCAGGCTGCGGCAATATCTGAGTGGCGAGCCACTGCGGACTATCAAGAGTCTCGGGTACACTGCTACGTCCTATGAAGCTGCCAAGGACATGCTCACAAGGAAGTATGGCGGCGAGCGTCGTCGTCTGGCAATCCAGCTTGAGGAGATTGAGGTAATGCGGCCAATACGAGAAGGAAAGCCACGGGAGCTGCAGCAGTTCGCTGAGTTGCTGATGGTAGCAACTGTCCAGCTCAAGGAGGCAGGACGACATGCGGAGCTGTTGGTCGGCACGCTCTATCACTCCCTGATGAAGAAGCTGGATGAACGGATCATAGTGCGCTATCATCGCTGGCGATATGACCATAATAGATCAGAGAGTGTAGAGTGCCTGTTGGAATTTGTTACCCTGGAAGCCGAGCTGGTGACGGCGGCAGAGACGATATCAGGTTTCAACACAGCGGCAAAAGCAGACCAGCCCCGCAGCTCGCAGGATCATCGTGCAAGAACGCTGCTTACCGGTACTCGCAACAAGTCATCTCCAAGCAAGTGCCCAGCCTGCCAAAGCCAACACCCAGTCTGGAGGTGCCTGGTATTTAAGTCGGCCACGCTAGATGAACGATGGCGCATTGCCAAGGCCAGCAACCTGTGCTTTCGGTGCCTGGGCGCTGGACACCGTGGGCAAGAATGCACTTGGGGGGACGCGTGTGGCATAAGTGGTTGCAGCGAAAGTCACCACCGGCTGCTGCATAACGCGGAGAAGGTGTCGTCAGCCTCGGGCACTGACACAGCATCCGAAGACAGCAAGCCTACGGTACGCCAGACGCTCGCAACATCAGCAGAGGGAAAACAGCAGCGTTCACAGACAACAAGCAACAGCAGGCAGTCTGAACCAGCGATGTCCCTTGTCACGTGTCAGACTACAGATGACAGCAAGGCATTATCAACAGCTTCCAAAGCGTCCAAGCTCATCGCCGTGTCCATGAGAACGGTGCCAGTGAAACTCAGGTCTGGTGGGAACGAAGTGCTTGTTAATGCACTGCTGGACGACGCAAGCACGGACTCATACGTAAGTTCGCATGTGGCATGTGAGCTTGGTCTAACGGGAGAAAGACAACACCTGCCGGTGAAAGTGCTCAGCGGTCGTACTGAGGTGTTTTCAACGACACATGTGACAGTTCAGCTCTGCAGTGTGGACGGAGAGACATCGGCGGCGCTGGACGCATTCACGACCGACTCAATCCTCGGAAGTGACAAGGCAGTGGATTGGGTGCACAAGCGCCGTGATTGGGCACACCTCCGCAACATTCCATTCCCAGCACTGCCGAACCGTCGACAGGTAGATGTGTTACTCGGCCTTGATGCAGTACAGCTTCAAGCAGCCATACGAGAAGTCCATGGGCAACCTGGAGAGCCGATTGCTCGCCTGACCCCCCTTGGATGGACCTGCGTCGGCAGGATTGGCAAGGTCAAGGCAGACCCGGTAACCTGTCTTACACGGGCTGCGCCACACGACGTTCGGGAAAGTATTGCGCGGCTATGGGCCATTGAAGAGTTTGGCCAGGCTCAACCGCAGCAGCCCACTCTTTCTGTGGAGGAGAAGGAAGCGATGCAGGCTGCCAAAGAGTCCATGCAGTGGATCGCCGATGGACGGTACCAGGTCGGCATCCCATGGCGTGCTGGTCGGCCAACACTACCTGACAATTTCGTGAGCTCCCTTTGGAACATAGACGAGGATTAGTATTACCCGCTAGTATTGCTAGTATTGTACTTCCAAGTATGAATTATTTTCTCCATATTGGGAAATACATGAATCAAACCCAGTTGCCCCGGTCGGTCAATTTCCGGACACGCCTCCTCATTTTGTCAAAAAATTGAATGAATACAGTCGTCCCTCTCTAATCCGGCACTTGTTTATCCAGCACCCTTGCAAACCATCACACTTTCTGGCGAAACGGATTTTTTCAGTTCATTTCCTACTCTTTAATCCGGCACTTGAATTCCGCCTCCAGCAGCGATTTTCTGCAACAAATCGCTCAAACTGTACATAATTCGATTTTATAATCCAGCAGTTGTACATCGCATGCCGTACGGCCGTGCACAGCTATGTCAGTTTGGTCAGTGCATGACGTGCATAAACTAACTTACCAGGGAGCATTCTACACATGTAACATACACTTGGGAATGCCCTATGCACTGTATAGACATGCACTCCACGAAGTACTTAGATTGACACAGAAAATCCCTGCGTTTTGACGTACAACACAAACATGTATATTAATAGGTGGGCCGGGTTGGAGAGCAGGATTTGATAATCCAGCAGAAATTGCCGCTGCAAAAGGTGCCGGATTAGAGAGGGACGACTGTATTTTCGAGTCCAAATGGATATTAATTTGATTATTTATCGACGCGTTATAAAAGCCGGGCTTATTTTCGTAGAAGCCGATGCCAGGGCTGGGCTTCTATTCAAATCAGGTACTTCTATGTGCGTCAACACTGAAACCAGGTGTAGGTGCTGACGGTGCATCTTAAAAATCAGGCTTGTGTTCCACACAGGCTTCTATATGGGACAGGCTTTAATAAAAGACTGTACGGTAGATGGCACAGGCTCGTCGTGTCTTAAAGCCAAACATACATGCAAAGCCAGATGAGAACTTACCCGGCAAAGTCGTCATCATCTGAATCGAGGCGTCTGCGAAAGGATGAGACAGAACGCTTAGGTTTCTGTCTTGGATCTATCCCATTACATTCCGAGGCATGGGCCTCGACTTCCGACTTTGGAAACTGTCCATGGCACATGGGACACTCCACATCCTGAGCAAATAAGACCAGTGAAAGGCAAGCCAATGGGTGTTTTCCAGAGCTCCCTGGCAAAATCCACTCAAAACCTAGTCTGAAAACCGAGCAAAAGCTAACAAACTAGCGTACTTATATACACCCTCAGCACTGCCGCCATTCACAACTTTAGATTTGCGCCATGCTACAGCTATTTACACTTTGCCTTGTGAGTATATAAACCAAATACTGATCCAGATTTCTCATTACTGTTTTCTGATGATCGCTTACATTGTAGTGCGTGAAACTCGGAGTAAAAACACTCTCTCGGTCCTGCTATTGTTTGAGCCAGCTCTGCCTCTCTCTCTGTCCTCCTATTGTTTGAGCCAGCTCTACCTCTCTCTCTGTCCTCCTATTGTTTGAACCAGCTTTGAACCAGCTCTACCTCTCTCTCTGTCCTCCTATTGTTTGAGCCAGCTTTGAACCAGCTCTACCTCTCTCTCTGTCCTCCTATTGTTTGAACCAGCTCTACCTCTCTCTCTGTCCTCCTATTGTTTGAACCAGCTCTACCTCTCTCTCTGTCCTCCTATTGTTTGAACCAGCTCTACCTCTCTCTCTGTCCTCCTATTGTTTGAACCAGCTCTACCTCTCTCTCTGTCCTCCTATTGTTTGAACCAGCTCTACCTCTCGCTCTGTCCTCCTATTGTTTGAACCAGCTCTACCTCTCTCTCTGTCCTCCTATCGTTTGAACCGGCTCTACCTCTCGGTATTGAGCACTCTCTTGGACAGCCTGGAACCTCTCTGTTTTACACCCTCAGCATGTTGATACCCAAGTACATAACTGTGCCTGGGCCTAGCTAAATAGGGATAGACATAGTTTTATCATTAGAGTAGCGGCAGTAATTGTGACTGCCGGTCTTCGAAGCAGATACCAACAGAAAGAAGAAAAGACGTCGACTGTAGCGTCCCTTCAAATAATTACAGTCTCTACATCATGACTACATGCTACTGTAGTCACACTCCACACTCGTTCACTGCGGGATTTTCAGTACTTTCACTTTCAGTGCTACTAGTACATCCCATGACCTCAAATCAGATTTCACCAAAGCCATCACAAGATTCACAACAGTGCTACATTTCACTTGTATGCACCTAATTACAGGTACAGGTGGAATTATTAGTCCCTACTCGAAAGGAAAGAGAAAAAGAAAAAGAAAAAAAGGGACTGAAGGTACCAGAGAACACATGCCACCAAACACAAGTATGTATTCCCCTCAGTCCCCACTGGTGATCATACTAAACTAAAGTGAACGTGTAACCATGTCCCATGCTCAGTACGTGTAGATTGGACTTGATCGACCCAAACAATCGGAAGTCTGCTGCGCCCATGGCATAAGTTAAGTTCAAGAGCAAAGTACATGTACATGTACTCAAGTGCATGCATCAGGAATCAGGATGGAAAAGTTTTCAAACAATCATACATACCTGACTAATGACAGTCTTCGTGGAAGGAGGATACTCGATGCTTTCAGCTTCTGTCAGGTCTTCCTCAGCTAGTGTCTCACTGAGCACGCACACACGAGCACACACACAACACACACACACACACGAGCACACACACACACGAGCACACACACACACGCGCGCACACACACACGCGCGCGCACACGCACGCACGCACATGTACGTACAAAAGAGAAGAAATAGACAGTTACAAAAAACCTGCAGGCTCCAGTACATGTACAGTGGAAGCATGTCATTGTACAGAGGAGCGTGAGCGTCTACAAGTGGCTAGGAGCTATGCACATGCTCTACATGTACAGTAAACCCTGTAACTAATGACCACCCATTGGGGCCAGACCTGTAACTAATGACCACCCATTGGGGCCAAACCTGTAACTAATGACCACCCATTGGGGCCAGACCTGTAACTAATGACCACCCATTGGGGCCAGACCTGTAACTAATGACCACCCATTGGGGCCAAACCTGTAACTAATGACCACCCATTGGGGCCAAACCGGTAACTAATGACCACCCATTGGGGCCAAACCTGTAACTAATGACCACCCATTGGGGCCAAACCTGTAACTAATGACTACCCATTGGGGCCAAACCTGTAACTAATGACCACCCATTGGGGCCAAACCTGTAACTAATGACCACCCATTGGGGCCAAACCTGTAACTAATGACCACCCATTGGGGCCAAACCTGTAACTAATGACCACCCATTGGGGCCAAACCTGTAACTAATGACCACCCATTGGGGCCAAACCTGTAACTAATGACCACCCATTGGGGCCAAACCTGTAACTAATGACCACCCATTGGGGCCAAACCTGTAACTAATGACCACCCATTGGGGCCAAACCTGTAACTAATGACCACCCATTGGGGCCAAACCTGTAACTAATGACCACCCATTGGGGCCAAACCTGTAACTAATGACCACCCATTGGGGCCAAACCTGTAACTAATGACCACCCATTGGGGCCAAACCTGTAACTAATGACCACCCATTGGGGCCAAACCTGTAACTAATGACCACCCATTGGGGCCAAACCTGTAACTCATGACCACCCATTGGGGCCAAACCTGTAACTAATGACCACCCATTGGGGCCAAACCTGTAACTAATGACCACCCATTGGGGCCAAACCTGTAACTAATGACCACCCATTGGGGCCAAACCTGTAACTAATGACCACCCATTGGGGCCAAACCTGTAACTAATGACCACCCATTGGGGCCAAACCTGTAACTAATGACCACCCATTGGGGCCAAACCTGTAACTAATGACCACCCATTGGGGCCAAAAAAAGCGGTCTTTAGTTGGAGGTTTGGCACCGTGCGACTATATGGATCCCATAATTATGTGATACGGATGTCAAAAATTGAGCAAGTACAATTCCCCATCACTTGCACAATGTTATTCTTATGTCAGATCACACAACATTCTTATGTCAGATCACACAACATTCAGACAACATTCAGAGAGAGAGAGAGAAGATTGTGCAGTGGTTACTTCTGAAGCCATGAGTCATGTGTGTATGCTAGTAAACAGTGAGTCATGTGTGTATGCTAGTAAACAGTGACATGTATCGCCAGGTTGTGAAGTTCCACACCTACAGACCCCACCGAATCCCGTGTGCTGTCAAGGTCCTAAGCACTGATGTATCATGCTAGCTACTCATGTATTGCGCATGCACTTCAAATTGGTATCACCCGTATAACGCGTATTGTTACGTTGCACGCCTTGCATCACATGATTACGTCACGTCTCTGTTGGACGCATGCACGCATGCATATTCTTGATTCATGTGGTCTTTCTGGTCTCTCTCTTCTTCCTGACCAGGGAATGTAAATTAGTGGTTCCTAAGTCTTGTCACCAAACTACAAGTAGGTCTTGTTGTCTAGTGGTGTGTATAAGAACATAACATGGCGCAGTGAAGTTTCGTACCTGTGTTTTTCTTGCCCGTGGTGCATCCCGGTTGTGTTCGTACGAGGCCAGCAGGTCCCATTAAATTTTAATCTATTCCCGTAGCTATGCAAAAGACGTTACTTCAGCAACGTCTGGCGCTAGCCAGAGTCTACACAGCTTTAATTCCGTGTTTTTTTGTTTGTGCCATCGGCATGCCTGGCACTATCCCGTACCTGTCCCGCACCGTACCAACAAAGACAGCTGGCCACAATATTCAAATAGGACTGTCAAATGCAAGATCATATTTTAAACGTGAAGCAACTTGGAAGAATGAGTATGTGTGCGAAGTGTATGGGGGGGGATGCATGCAGGGCGATAGTGTGGGTTCGAATCCCAGGAAAATAGGAGAAATGAAAAATTTATAACATCCCTATGCTTTTTTGCCTAGGTCATCAAGGTGGTAGACGGTGTCGTATTACCCTCGAATGCAAAGAGAAAGTTTATTTCTTTCGCTCAGGGCCCTACGCTATGCTTTTTTGCCTAGCTCAACATGCATGTTATTCGAACAGATGGAAACTTTTTGCAATACAATGATGTAGCCGATCAGTTCTTTGTGGTATGGTTGGGCATTGTAGCCGTCATGGTTGACGTAAAACACTATAAGACCGCAATGAAGTTGGGGCGAAAGAGAAAGTTCGTTTTCATTTCTTGTTGGCTGAGTTTTACGAAATAAACAAGAAATGTTGTTCTGTTCGAACGAACAGGTCTGGGACCGAGGTCCGACAGTTTTGGGCGTACTGGTACGCCGCAGTCCCTCATCTTTTGTTTTCTTGCTTTGCAAGCTGGTTTCCCACCCTCCCTCCCAATGAGGAGCTTTGTACGGATTCACACACGGGTCATGATAGTGAGAGTGCTGGGTTACTCTCTCTCCGATAGATTTCTCAATATTGCTGCTACAATATAGGTTATAAGTTGTGCGAAGCGTGGAATGTGCGGATGCTCTGTCGATTGCTGTGCTTTTCTGTATGATTCACCTTGCACAACGCTGTCACTCTACGAGGTGTTGTTTTTCGCTGGATGTTTTTTTCTGTCTGTGTTCTGGACACACGAGTGCAACCAGCCTTGCTGTGGCTGTCCCCCGCAGTTGTTTATTCTGTGATGAGTGTGTGTGTGTGTGTGAGAGAGAGAGTGTGTGTAGGTGTGTGTGTGTGTGTGTGTGTGTGTGTGTGTGTGTGTGTGTGTGTGTGTGTGTGTGTGTGTGTGTGTGTGTGGTGTGTGTGTGTGTGTGAGTATGTGTGCAGTGCTGACTTGTGAGTGAGAAAAGAACATCAGTTCTAATAACATGCATGGTGAGCTAGGCAACAAAGCATAGCGTAGGGCCCTGAGCTTCCAAGCTCTCTTGTTTCTCTAGTCGTGACCGTCTTCCGAAATGCCAGATGGCGGCAGTCCGACCTCTGCAGCTGCACCAAGTTTGCCGAGCGCAGATATCGTTGCTCTTGCCGCTCTCCTGAAAAAGCAGGTGGAGGCAGGCGATGAACGAGAGCGGCGTCTCGCTGCTATTATAACCGGCTTTACTCAGCAGAGTCCGTCTCGCTCGTCGCCAGCTCCGCCAGCTCCAAAGCCTGTCGCGGCGGAGCGACCAATGCTGCTGTCTTCCGCGTCGCTGTCAGAGTTTGCTACCTGGCAGGAACTATGGAAAAACTTTTCTAGGTGTCAGCACCTGACAGCAAAATCGAAAGAGACCAGAGTATCAGCCATGCATCAGTGCCTTGATGAAGACCTGAGACGCTTTATCAGGGAGGGCACCATTGTTATCCCGAGCAATCCTGATGTTTTGGAGGCGGTGAAGCAGCTTCTTCGCCGACAAAGGAACCCAATTCTTGACCGTATCGAGTTTTATAAGCGCACACAGCAGAAAGGGGAATTATTTGACGGATTCCACACTTCCCTGAAGGAGTTGTTCAACACGTGCGATTTCGTAGAACATGAGCTCTGTTCTGTCTGTTTGGCACGTGCCTGTTCCACGTGTAAGACCAATCTCGCACGGGTCCACGCGGACATGATGCGAGACCGCATTGTGATAGGTATTCTGGATGACACCACCCGCACAAACTGTTGTCTACCTCCGACCTGACATTGGAGGAGACAGTCAAGGTGTGTCGGGCAGGAGAGGCAGCCACACAGACTAGCCACCATATCCCTAGCGCCGGCCAGGTCCATGCTGCCAAGAAGTCCTCCTATCAGTGCACAAAGTCAGCATCACCGCCACCAGTTGAGGCAAAGAACACTTCTACTCGTGCTAAGTGCCCTAACTGTGGACGGACAGCGCACACCAAATCACCGTGTCCAGCCATCAACAAAGTGTGCCTCAACTGCAATGGAATGGGTCATTCCTGGGCAATGTGCCGCAAGAACGCCAAGAAGCCGGACAAGTCCTCCAAGATCGCACGCGTGCGGCTGAACCGAGCATCTCTGTTGGACGACGCAAAAGTTTCCATTGCTACCCAGCGTGTGACCGAGCCAGAGCCCGTTGCCCTCAGTTGGCTCCCGGATACTGGTAGCGCCGTTGATGCCATCTGCACCCAACACCTAGTAGTCTAGAGGGTTCATACAGGCACATTTATTCTGGGGTGAAGTCAGGGGTTCGCGCCGAGCGTTGCATGTCGCATGGCAAGACAATTTAGGAAAAGGAAAATGGGTTACGGGGTAACTGTTTCCCATGCCCCCCCCCCCCCCCCTACTACAGTCAGACCTCGCTTAACCGCACACATCTGTTTTCCATAAAATATCCGGATAGGCGAGGGAACCGGATAACTGAACACACATACTGGATATGCATGTGGCAGGTCAAAAGCAGTGGCATCGTACATACATGTAGACGGGTCCTATGCAGTATAACTAGCGTGCACAGTACAGTTGAACATCGATTATCCGACCACCTCTGGGCAGACAACTGTCAGGCGGTGTTCAGATAAGGCAAATGTTCCGGATAAGAAAAAACTGTCACTCACACACTTTCAGTGGTTATTACTAGCCGCACGACCTTTTTACTTTTCAAAATTTTCGTATTTTTTGAATGGCTCACTGCATGCACAGTGCGTACTCTACGGCACGTGCGCCCAAAAAAACTGTTACGGATAATCGAATGGTCGGATAGTCGATGTGCGGATAATCGATGTTCAACTGTATGTAAAACAAG